ATTACAGACAGAGACTTATGGAGGCTGAGATCTGAGGATCACAATTCAAAGCTAGCCTAAGAAGTGAGTCTGTGAAACTCTTAACCACTAAAAAGCTACAAGTGGAGCTGTAACTCAAGTGATAGCCTTGAGTGAAAAAGCTCAATGGACAATGCTCAGGTTCTGAATTCAAGATCCAGTACTGGCACAAAAAAATGGCTTTTAAACATCAGCTCATAATATACAACTTGACACAGATTAAGCACTCAATAAATGTTGGCTGAAAGAGTGCATTTGTACTATGACAAATGTCTTATTGAAGGAAAAAGCTATAGGAAGAAAGCTTTCCACTGTAGCAAAAATCCCAATAAAGAGAACAGTACAGGAAACTGTCCCACAACAGAAAACTTCTTACTTATGGGATAATCACTTAGTGGAAGATGATACAGCTGTTAAAATGGTAATTAGGATGATTATGTAGTGACTTGGAAATTGTTTTTAATATAATAAAAGCAGAATACAAATTGGTCTGTATGCTAGGACTAAAATTATGTAAAAGTATGCATGCACACACCCTCATCCAAAAGAGAACAGGAGTGGGGACAAATGAATACAGATGATGTGTTTAGGGTGTTTAGGGAGGTATTGTTTGAAATTTACTCAGCACTTTCCAAATTTTCTTTATCGTTGCTATAATGTCATTTATGCATAAATACAAAAGAGAGAAAAAAATCCTGAAAAAGGTGCTTTGATTTCCAAGCTGCCAACAAACCACTAACTCAAGAGGCAAGAAGAGACCAGACCTCCATCTTGCACACACACCTAACCTAACAAGATCTGTAATTTTGATTGAGACGTGCAGCTCCAAGCAGCTATGTCTTCTGTCCTTGTCCACCCTAGTTGGAACTTGAATGATCATCTCTCACGCCCAAGTCACTTCCTTCCTCAGTTCTGTTAGCTGTACCATCTTCCCAGTACCTCCAGCTGGAAAACCACAAAACTTTGTCTTGCTTTGTCCCCTTCACTCTGTCTAACCCTTACCTATCTTTCCTCCTCCTGCTCCTGCTCCTGCTCCTCTTCCTCCTCTTGTTCCTCCTCTTCCACACTGGAGTTTGAATTCAAGGTGTTTTGTTCTTGCAAGATAGGTACTCCACCATTTGAACCATGTCTCCAGTCTTTTGTGCTGGGCATTTGTGAGATAAGGTCTCTATTTTTACCTGGGCCAGCATCGGCAGTGATTCTCCTATTTGCACTTCCTACCATGGAGGCTGGGATGACAAGCGCATACCTCTGAACCCAGCTCTTGGTTGAGAGGGGATTTCAGTAAATTTCCGCTTGGGCTGACCTCAAACCATGATAACCCCAATCTCTGTTTTGAGTAGCTAGGAGGATTACAGGCATGAACCAAGCACCTAGCTTCTCTTGTTTGTTGTGGTTTTTTTTGGGGGGGGTCCTGTCATGGGGCCTGAACTCTGGGTCTGGGCGCTGTCCCTCATCTCTTCAGCTCAAGGCCAGCACTCTACCACTTGAGCCACAGCGCCACTTCCGGCTTTTTTCTTTTTGTTTATATGGTGCTGAGGAATTGAACCCAGGGCCTCATGCATGCAAGGCAAGCGCTCTACCACTGAGCCATCTTCCCAGCCCCTGTTGTGTTTTTTTTTGAGACAAAAGAAAAATATGTTACAGGCTAGGAATGTGGCTCAGTGGTAGACTGCCTAACATGCATGAAACCCTGGGTACACTTCCTCAGTACCACATAAACAGTAAACACCAGAAGTGGTGCTGAGGCAATGGTAGAGTCCTAGCCTTGAACAAAAGCAGCTCAGGGAGAGTGCCCAAGCCCTCAGTTAAAGCCCCATGACTTGCAAAAAAAAAAAGAAAAAAATAAAAATATGTCAGTTCTTTTTTTTTTTTTTTGGTCCGGCGCCACTTCTGGCTTTTTTCCCCTTTTTTTGCTTATGTGGTGCTGAGGAATAGAACCCAGGGCCTTGAGCATGCAAGGCAAGTGCTCTACCACTGAGCCACCTTCCCAGCCCCTATGTCAGTTCTTCTTAACCAGATAGTAATACCTAGGAGGGCAAGGAGTCTTCTGTTTAAATCTATGACATGGGCTGGGAATGTGCCTTAGTGGTAGAGTGCTTGCCTAGCATGAATGAAGTCCTGGGTTTGATTATTCAGTACTACATAAACAGAAAAAACTGGAAGTGGTGGTGTGGCTCAAGTGGTAGAGTGCTAGTCTTGAGCAAAAGCAGTTCATGGACAGTGCCCAAGCCCTGGGTTCAAGCCCCAGGACTGTCAAATAAAATAAAATAAAATTAGGAAATGAAGCCGGGCACTGGTGGCTCACGCCTGTAATCCTAGCTACTCAGGAGGCTGAGATCTGAGGATATCGGTTCAAAGCCAGTCCGCGCAGGAGAGACGGTGAGACTCCTATCTCCAATAAACCACCAGAAAACCAGAAGTGGCACTGTAGCTCAAGCGGTAGAGCACTAGCCTTGAGCTGAAGAGCTGAGGAACAGCACCAAGGCCCAGAGTTCAAGCCCCACGACCGACCAAAAAAAAAATTAGGAAATGACCCAGCATTCAGGAGACTCGGGTAGGGGGATCACAAGTTCAAGGCTCGAGGCAAGCTTTAGTGATACCCTAAACATAATCAGAAACCAAACCCCAATGATGCCAAAGTGTGAAAGTAAGGAAACTTCTGTAGATTCTTTTAAATTTCATATGTACTTTGCTTCTAGTTATTGGTAGAAAACTCATTTTGACCCTAAAGCTGACAATTTCCAAACCCTAACCCTAATCTGAACTTGAAAATTAATGACTCGTGAATGTTGTCAAGAAAACACATATACCTGTTTTCTTTCATCCTGACCTGAATCCAACTGATTCTTGTTGAAATAGATTGTGAGACAGAGACAGAGGGACTGAGACAGAGACAGAGGGAGGAGAAGGGGGAGAGAGAGAGGGAGAGAGGAGAGACAGATTCTCCTAATTATCTTTTGAGAGTGACTGGAATTCTGTGATTTGGGATTAGCCCAGGGTGCTGCCGCCCACAATCTAGAAAACATAGGTGATTGAGCCGATCTGTTCCCTCACGACTGGAAATGGAAAATCAAGAAGTTTGAAGTAGGGAAATAGCAGAAGCAATATATATTAGAAAACCAGATGATTTCAAAAGTTCCCTTGTTTCCCTGAGAATATGTGGCAAGTTCTGGAAGCATTGTACGGGAAGGGATGGGCAGGATGCCAACCAGGGTTCAAGCTGGGATTCTACCTTCTCATCTTCCCCAGCCCATGCCTTCAGCAGTCTTCAGACACAGATTACGTTGGTGACTCCAACTTTTAGAGTGAGGATGGCTGACTGCAGGGAATCTGGAAGATGATACAAAGTATGTTTAATAAATAGTATTAAAGGGCTGGGAAGGTGGCTCAGTGGTAGAGCACTTGCCTTGCATGCTCCAGGCCCTGGGTTCGATTCCTCAGCACCACATAAGAAAAAAGCCAGAAGTGGCGCTGTGGCTCAAGTGGTAGAGTCTTGAGCTGAAGAGCTCAGGGATAGCGCCTAGGCCCAGAGTTCAAACCCCACCACTGACCAAAAAAAAAAAAGACTTGGAGGAGCATTAGTATGAGTTATGCTTTGAAGGCCTTGTAGAACTCAGCTATAAATCCATCCGGTCCTGGGCTTTTCTTGAGTGGGAGGGCTCTTATTGCCATTTCTATTTTGATGCTTGATATGGGTCTGTTAAGTTGGTTTAAATCATCTTGGTTTAGTTTGGGCAGAAATTCATCCATTTCTTCCAGTTTCTCAAACTTATTACCATAAATATTTGAGAAGTATTCCTTTATAATGTTCTGAATCTTGGTTGTTTCTGTGGTGATGTTTCTATTCTCAGCTCTGAGTTTATTTATTTGGGTGTGTTCTTTTTTTTCTGATAAGATTTGCTAAGAGTCTGTCGATTTTGTTAATTTTTTTCGAAGAACCAACTCTTCGTTTTGTTGATTCTATTTTTTTTTTTTTTGTCGGTCGTGGGGCTTGGACTCTGGGCCTGGGTGCTGTCCCTCAGCTCTTCAGTTCAAGGCGAGTGCTCTACCACTTGAGCTACAGCGCCACTTCCGGTTTTCTGGTGGTTTATTGGAGATAGGAGTCTCACGGACTTTCCTTGCCCGGGCTGACTTTGAACCATGATCCTCAGATCTCAGCCTCCTGAGTAGCTAGGATTACAGGCGTGAGCCACCAGCGCCCGGCTCAGCTCTACATTTTTTTTAACTTAAATTTTATTGTAAACGTGATGTACAGTGAAGTTACAGTTACGTAAGTAAGTTAATAAGCACATTTGCTTTTGAACAGTATTACCTTCTCCTTCATGTTCTGCCACTCCCCCACCCCTTCAGCTCTAATCGTTACTGGTGAATTATATAGAGGGAATTTCAAAGACTTTTAGTGAGGGCTGGGAAGGTGGCTCAGTGGTAGAGCTCTTGCCTTGCATGCCTGAGGCACTGGGTTCAATTCCTCAGCACCACATAAGCAAAAAGAAAAAAGCCAGAAGTGGCACTGTAGCTCAAGTGGTAGAGTGCTAGCCTTGAGCTGAAGAGCTGAGGGACAGCGACCAGGCCCAGAGTTCAGGCCCCATGACCGGATCCAAAAAAAAAAAAGTAAAAAAATAAATAGTATTAAATATTGTTAAAATATAGTTTCTTTTTGATTGTGTGAGCGTATGTACGTGGAACTCAGCGTAGCTACATTTTCCTGGAAGGCAGGGATCTTATCTGGTTATCATTTGAGTTTCCGGCACTTATCACAGTCAGAAACCCGGCAAGCCTTCAGTGCTCCTGGACGGAGAAAAGACCAGGAAACGAGAGGAAGTACTTGTCCTTAGGAGACATTCTCTCTCACCGTATGGTCCCCGAGCCCGAGATCACTGGCCTCCCGACCAGTAGATGGCAAGAGAGAGTACCGGCGGGCTAGGAAAGCACCGGGCTGGGAAAATGCCACCGTGGGCGGAGCGTCCCAGTCTCTAGCGCGGCGCGCGCAGCCTCCGACCCTAATTTCTTTGAGCGCCGGAAGAAGGCGGGCCTCTTTCCGTTCCTAGCGCAGCCATGGTAAGGTAGCAGTTCGGCGAACTCTAGGGTTGCATCGGCCTCCATCCTCCCAATGCTGAGATTGTCCAGGGCTTTGGGCTCCTGTGGGGGTCGACAGGATGGAGACAAAGGGAAAGCAACCCCTAGAGCTGGCTGTAGTGGGCTTCAGGGCCAGGATGATTAGTGGCCTGGGGAACTGGTGGGGGGGCGGTGAATGTGCCACTGGTGCCACCAGTTGCAAGGCCTAGGACTTTGGCTTGGCCAGTCTTTTTCAAATCAGGGAGAAGTGGCTCTGGTCCCCGACGAGTGTCGGGTAGTCTGGGGACGTAGGCAGCGAGCCCCAGGCAAATCAGCACCTGGTTTCTTAGCTTGGTTGGCACCGCCGCCTGACCTGACGTAGTGTGGCTGGTAAGCATCAGCAAGGAGCTTTGAGAAGTCTGCCTTCCGACTTCTAAAGCGAAAGCCTGTGCCTGGTCTTCGCATGAGTATACGAAGGGACACTAAACGTTGTTGCGCCCAAGTTAGATGGATCTTTTGAAACAGCTTGTTTGGAAACGGAAATGAAATCCTGGGCCAGTGCCTCAGTGCGCTTGGGTTTGAAGCGCTGAACTTTATATCCCTGCAGTGTTGCGTAGTGAGCCGGTGTTCTTAGAATATGGTAACCTTGAAATACTTAGTTTACCTGTGGGAGAGAGGAATCGGTATTTTTCTTGGGACATGAGAAAGTTGTCTGCGATTTGCCGTGTGTGTAGTATTCTGTACAGAGTATGTGTGTACCTTCTGTCCGTTTTATCAGAACATCTCTAACACGTTTTATTGAAGAGAAATTTTGAGAATTTACACTACATTCCTATTAAGCTGAAACCATGTCACAATATTGCAATATAAAACTTCCCTTCAGGCTCGTGGTCCCAAGAAGCATCTGAAGCGGGTAGCCGCTCCTAAGCATTGGATGTTGGATAAACTGACTGGTGTATTTGTAAGTATCCCCACGTGTTTCTTGGGGAAGGGGGTGGAGGATTGCTGAGGAGCCTGGGTCCTTGCACATGCTAGAGCAATACTCACCACTGAGTTATACCCACAGCTTGTATAAGGATCTTATGCAAGATGGAAAGTATTTTCCACTTTATAAGCCAGGCTAAACATACACTGGCTTTCCCTGCTTTTGGAGTCACTGGGCTGTCTACCTGTACTCCACAACTGCACCTAACATTTTTCTCACTACACTTACATACATGAACTCAGATCTCAAATGATAATTACTGGTGAGCCTTATTCCTTGGAGAAAATTCCTTCTGTCTAAGTGTCCAAGTGATGGAAAGGTAGTTTTGGTGTCTTAATGGACTTAAGGACTGATGTGAGATTTGAGTGAATTCAGGTGGTGATATTTGGAAAGTGACCATTTATAATTTTGCAGGCTCCTCGTCCATCCACCGGTCCCCACAAGCTGAGAGAATGTCTGCCTCTCATCATTTTCCTAAGGAACAGGCTTAAGTATGCCTTAACAGGAGATGAAGTGAAGAAAATCTGCATGCAGCGTTTCATTAAGATTGATGGCAAAGTCAGAACTGATATCACCTACCCTGCTGGTTTTATGGGTGAGCAATTCGTGCTAGGTGCTTAGTAGCGATACATTGCTTTACTGGCATCTCCCACATGGCAGTTGTACTCAGTGCTCAGCTTTAATGCTATTCAGTCGTGTCATGTTGAGGGATTTGGAAACCTATGTAGAGAGGGGCAAGGTTCGCCCTATAGTCTTCTAGTTAGTCCTGAGAAGCTACAGATTCAGAAGTTTTTACTTAAATGCCATGGATTGCTTCACTTCTCAAAACTGAATTTCATTTTACTTTAAATTTCACATGACCCTGGAAGATTGAGGCAAGTGGTTAATTCTTTACTGAGCAATGGGGTCCACTATAGTAAGTTACTTTGTTGCTGTTTGATATCAGATGTCATCAGCATCGATAAGACTGGGGAGAATTTCCGTCTGATCTATGACACCAAGGGTCGCTTTGCTGTTCACCGCATAACACCAGAGGAGGCCAAGGTGAGTATGACGGGTGGGTTGGGCTTTCAACTTTGAAGTTCTTTGGTTCTAAGTTAAATCCTAGATTGAGCTCAGGTGGGATACATTCAGGTTACTTGCTTACACCTGGAAACAGTAATTGGTAAGATTCTGTTGTATGTGATTGTGTTTTTGTTTTGGTGCTGGGGACAAGCCTGGGGCCTCACACAGTTGACACTTCAAAAAAAAAAGACCTAGGAAACCAATCTGGTCCAGTCAGTTCTTTTTGGCTCTTTGCCCTTGCTCCATTTGTGACTCTAGCTCTGCTTTATGGGGTCTTGGTGGTAGAGACTGATAATACTTAAGGCATTAGTTTGAGATAACATAAAATTGCAGACTGCTGGGTGCTGACAGCTCACATACCTGTTGTAATCCTAGCTACTCAGGCAGCTGAGATCTGAGGATTAATGTTCAAAGCCAGCCGGGGCAGTAAGATCCGTGAGACCCAATTAACCACCAGGAAACTGGAAGTGGACCTGTGGCTCAAAGTGGTAGAGTGATAACCTTGAGTGAAAGAGCTTAGGGAGAATGCCCAGACCCTGAGTTCAAGCCCTATGAGCAACAACAAAAAGCTTAACTTCAGCCTAGCTGAAGGGCTTGTCCAGTGGTTTCCTTAATAATTCAGTTTGTTGTAAAACTATCAGGAAGTGAAGATCTAAAATTGAAGTGCTTTGTGAAATATTTACTAATTACATGAACTGGTAATACAATTGCTGTTTATGAGTCAAAATGTGATACTAGCTACTCAGGAAGCTGAGATTTGAGGATCGTGGTTCAAAGTATGGATGCCCCTTCCCCTCCCCCCCAAAAAAACGCCAAAACATTAGGAGAAATCAGTGTGTAACGAATTCCCTGGGCCCATGACATTTCAAGGAAAGGAGTGGGAATGACAGTAGAAGCCAGTGGCGGACCTGCTTGGGACATACAGGACTGGCCCTTCAGATACAGTGTTTCAGTCCACAACAGCTGTGGAGCTGTATAAAATTATCTTCAGCTACTGTTTGCATTTTCCAGCCAGTGGCACCAGACCTGGGAAAAAGAACTGATGCACTTGTGAATATAATAAGTATGAGCCCAACTAAATTAACCCTTTCTATGATTCCAGTACAAGTTGTGCAAAGTGAGAAAGATCTTTGTTGGCACAAAAGGAATCCCTCATCTGGTGACTCATGATGCTCGAACCATTCGCTACCCAGATCCCCTCATCAAAGTCAATGACACCATTCAAATTGATTTGGAGACCGGCAAGATAACAGATTTCATCAAGTTTGACACTGGTAAGCATCCTCTGCCACATAACATCTTGGAGAACAGATGTTTTGTTTTATTATTGATTGTGGGGCTTGAACTCTGGGCATGGGCACTGTCCCTGACCTGTTCAGCTCAAGGCAAGCACTCTACCATTTGAGCCACAGAACCACTTTGGGTTTTCTGGTGGTTCACTGGAGATAAGAGTTTCAGGCTTTGCTGCCCGGGCTGGCTTTGAACCGAGATCCTTAGGTTTCAGCCTCCTGAGTAGCTAAGATTACAGGTGTGGGCCATTGTTACCCAGCTTTGTTTTTCATACACTAAACTCATCTGAGCATTGTGAACTGGTCAGCCTGGATATAGATTAGTTGGCTGGTGCTTTTACGCATCTGTAGCATCTTCACTTTGAGGTGGCAAAATGTGTAGTATAAAATAAAACTATGTAAATCTGTTTATGCTAGAGCTTGAACTCTCAGTTTTTTAGGCACTGTCCCTGAGGGTTTGTTTTCTGGGTTTTTTTTTGTTTCTTTGTTTGCTGATTAATTGTAGATAAGAGATTTAGGGACATAACTGCCTGATATGGCCTCAAAGCTTTCTGTGGAAAATATAAAAGCAGCAGGAGTAATAAAGGCAATAGACGGTCAGGACCTGACACGGTCCTCCTAGGGTAGATAGTTTACATTTTTAGAGACTCCAGGGGTGACCTGGCTTGGACTACAGCATTAATAGGAATGAGTTGCTCCTGGGGTTAAAGCCAGGGGATCTATGAACTAGATGAGCACATATCTCTGATTGAAGCAAGTGTTTTTCTTGTTTAGGTAACCTGTGTATGGTGACCGGCGGTGCTAACTTGGGAAGAATTGGTGTGATCACCAATAGAGAGAGACACCCAGGTTCTTTCGATGTGGTTCATGTGAAAGATGCCAATGGCAACAGCTTTGCCACCCGACTTTCCAACATCTTTGTTATTGGCAAAGTAAGTCTGAGTTTTCCTTCTCAAAGCAATCATTAATTATACTATTATGACATTTCCACCTAATCTGCTCACCCCCTCTATCACTCCCTTTCTCCTTTCCTAAAACAATTAGAGCAAGTTTCACTGTACTATTTAAACTTTTTATGTGGTACTGAGGAATCGAACCCAGGGCCTTATGCATGCTAGCAGGCACTCTACTACTAAGTCACATTCGCAGCTCTCACTCTACTATTTTTATATAGGCAAACAATATACATACATATTGTCTGTGTGTGCATGTGCTGGGTCTAGGCTTGAACTAAGGGCCTACACACATCTTTTGTTCAAAGCTAACATGTCTCAACTTGAGCCCCACTACTGGCTTTTTTGGTACTTAGATGTAGGAGCCATGTGGATTACCTTTCTTATTAGTCCTAATCCCTCCCCAATATGGCCTGTTTTATTCTTTCCTCATGTGGCTGTGCTTTTCTAGGACACTAAATAAAGATCCTCCTGTGGTACTATTTCAACTTGCAGAGATGGATTGCAAATGCTTATTTTGATTCTTTCAGGGCAATAAACCTTGGATTTCTCTTCCCCGAGGAAAGGGGATCCGCCTCACCATCGCTGAAGAAAGAGACAAGAGGCTGGCAGCCAAACAGAGCAGTGGGTGAATTTCACTTACTATCTCTATGTGCCATCGGAAATAAGAGATTGTACTTATAAAATGGTCTCTGAATAAATAAGAATCAGAGAATTTTAAATAAAAATGATCTGATGTGATTAATTGCTCTTGGTTTGTGTTGTCTTTATCACAGTTTACTGTTTAACATTGTAACTTGAAGAATAAATTCTAGACAAGCTCAGATTGTTTCTAATCTAGATTTTTGTGTGGTAAAGAGAAAGGGGCTACAACTAAGCCCAGGAAATAGATAACTCACGGCTGGGCTAGGTAGGCCTCAGCTACAGTGAAATCCTAGTTAATTATTTTTTTGTGCTAGGGATCAAACCCAGGGGCCTACACACACTAGGCAAGCATTTTACCATTCAGAAATGCCCCAGCTCCTCACTTGGCTATTTGGGAATGGACCACCCTCATCTTACACTTAGGTTTATATTGCACTGGTCCCTCACAAGCCTGCTTTGTCTTTGCCCCTGTGCCCAGCTTGCCAAAAGCAATAAGGAATCTCTAGAAGTAGTTAACCTTCATGATTATGGTCTCTTAGTAGGGTAACATGTGCTTTAATTCGTGTCTATCATTCACTTCACTGCAACTGTAGTCCTTAACTTCAGGTATGGTCCGTTGTAGATGACCAACTTCTGTTCTCCCAAGGAGTGGCAGGTAGGTTCTGAAGTCTTGGCAAGACCTGTTTCATGGGCTCTTGAACCTTCAATGTTGGTGACTTAGCTCCTGAGCTGTTTTTTTTCTAGTTAGTCAAAGGTGAGTCTTGGAATTGTCTGCCCAGGCAGACAAAATCTTAGATTAGTGGGGTCTGAACTTGTCCTGGACACTGTCCCTGAGCTTTGCTCAAGAGTGCTGCTGTGGGCTGGAAATGGGTCTTAGTGGTAGAGTGCTTGCCTAGCATGTATGAAGCCCAGGGTATCGATTCTTAAATGCCATGTAAACAAAAAGCCGGAATCGACACTAGCTCAAGTGGTAGAGTGCTAGCCTTGAGCAAAAGAATCTTAGGGAGGGCTGGGAAGGTGGCTCAGTGGTAGAGCGCTTTCCTTGCATGCCTGAGGCCCTGGGTTCGATTCCTCAGCACCACATAAGCAAAAAGAAAAGCCAGAAGTGGTGCTGTGGCTCAAGTGGTAGAGTGCTAGCCTTGAGCTGAAGAGCTGAGAGACAGTGCCCAGGCCCAGAGTTCAGGCCCCACGACCGGAACCAAAAAAAAAAAATCTTAGGGACAGTGCTCAGGCCCCGAGTTCAAGCACCAGGACTGGCAAAAAAAAAACCCCACACTAGTGCTGTACCATACCACTTCAAGCCACAACTCCATTCCCAGTTTTTTCTAAGTAGTGTAACAGAAATAAGAGTCTCACAGACTTTCCTGCCTGGGCTGGCTTCAAGCTGTGATTCACAGATCTCAGCTTCCTGAGTAGCTAGGATTACAGGCATGGATCACCATCACCTGGCCTGGTTTAGAATATTGATCATCAAAACTCAGGCTCCTGAGTAGCTAAGATTATAGGCCACTAACACTGGGCTCCATTTCAATTTTTGTTGCTGGGGATGGAATCTAGGGCCTCACATGCAATAGGCAAGCAATCTACCACTGTGTTTTTGTAAGGTTTCCAATTCAATTTATAAAATCTCTTAGGTTTCTTTGAGACAGCATTCGAGATCATCTCAAATGGTCCTAAGATAAAGCAGGCAGAAGCCAGAACTGTAACCAGGTTTGTTTGATGTCCCTGTACCCTCAGTAGGGTGAGTTTCAGCTTACTGTGTGAGGCCCTGGATATGTTAAATCCCTACCATAACATAGGGTGAGGATTGGGATATGGATATATGTTGATAATGTTGAAAGTGAGTGATGGGTACAGGAGATTTTCCATATTACTATCTAGAGATTTTTTTTGGCAAACTTAGGCACAAATAGCACACTGCCCTTCTAAATAGTACTTTACCTTTTTTTGGGGGGGGGGTCCAGTCGTGGGGCCTGAACTCTGGGCCTGGGTGCTGTCCCTCAGCTCTTCAGCTCAAGGCTAGCGCTCTACCACTTAAGCCACAGCGCCACTCCCGGCTTTTTTCTTTTTGCTTATGTGGTACTGAGGAATTGAACCCAGGGCCTCATGCATGCAAGGCAAGTGCTCTACCACTGAGCCACCTTCCCAGCCCAGTACCTTACCTTCTAAATAGTGCTTACCTTCACTACCAACTGACCTGAGACAGTTTTTTTTGGTTACTGGGGCTTGAACTTGGGGCCTGGTCACTGTTGTCTTAGCTTTTCTACTCAAGGCTAGTGTTTTACCACTTGAGTCACAGCTCCACTTCCAGCTTTTTGGTGGTTAATTGGAGGTAAAAGACTTTTGTCTCCCCTGGCTTCAAACCTCAGTCTTCAGATCTGTTTCTCGAATAGCAGGCATGAGCCACCAGTACCTGGGAGAAGAAACTCTGAGTCACCCACTTTGTTTGGGGCTTCCTGTGGTCATACTCCTGCATTTTTCTTAGCTTTTCTAGCAATAGTGAGTTTGTGTAATCAGTGGTGTGATGAGATAAATGTTTAAAGGACTAGCTGTCTAGGGAAAATATGTGTATATTAACAAATTTATTATAAAATTTACTGATATAAAAATATATAACTTACAAATAATAAAATACAATAGCCTTTATTGGGAATTCAATGTAGTTAGTTGATTCTCACAACATTTTTTTTTGCCAGACCTAGGGCTTGAACTAAGGGCCTGGGCACTGTCCTTGAGCTTTTGCTCAAGGCTGGCACTCTACCACTTTAAGACACAGCACTACCCACTTTTTCTGTTTATATGGCACTGAGGAATCAAACCCAGGGCTTCATGCATGCTAGGCAAGCACTCTACCACTAAGCCACATTCCCAGCCCCAAATATTTTCTTTTTTATTTTTTTTGTCAATTGTGGGGCTTGAACTTAAAGCCTGGGCACGGTCCCTGAGCTTTTTCTTTTTCTTTTTCTTTTTTTTGTCAGTGGTGGTGGTCATGGGGCTTGAGCTCTGGGTCTGAGCGCTGTCCCTCAGCTCTTCAGCTCAAGGCTAGCGCTGTACCACTTGAGCTACAGCGCCACTTCCAGTTTTCTGGTGGTTTATGGAGTTAAGAGTTTCACCAACTTTCCTGCCCAAGCTGGCTTGATAAGAGTTTCATGGACTTTCCTGCCCGGGCTGGCTTTGAATCAAGATCCTCCTGAATCTCAGCCTCCTGAGTAGCTAGGATTACAGGTGTGAGCCACCGGTGCCCGGCCCTGAGTTTTTTCAATTTACTGCTTTGAGTCAGCACCAGTTCCAGTTTTCTGGTGGTTAATTGACAATAAGAGGCTCACAGACTTTCCTGCCCAGGCTAGCTTTGAGCAAGCCATGATCCTAAAATCTCAGCCTCCTGAGTAGCATGAGCCACTAGTGCCTGGTATTTTCATGTATTTTTGCCATACTCTTGTATCCATAGCCAACTTAGGGTTCTATTTGCAATCAACAAAAGAATGTTAGTTCCAGAATAGGCATTGTTGGCTCATGCCTGTAAATCCTAGCTACTCAAGAGGCTGAGATCTGAGGGCCATTATTTGAAGCCAGCCCAGGGAGGAAAGTCAGTAAGACTCTTAGCTCCAATTAAATACCAGAGGGGCTGGGAAGGTGGCTCAGTAGTAAAGCGCTTGCCTTGCATGCTTGAGGCCCTGGGTTCGATTCCTCAGCACCCATACGCAAAAAAAAAAAAAAAAAAGCTGATGGGGCTGGGAAGGTGGCTCAGTGGTAGAGAGCTTGCCTTGCATAAATGAGGACCCGGGTTTGATTCCTCAGCACCACATAAAAAGCCGGAAGTGGCACTGTGGCTCAAGTGGTAAAGCGCTAGCCTTGAGCTGAAGAGCTGAGGGACAGCGCCCAGGCCCAGAGTTCAGGCCCCGCGACCAGACCCAAAAAAAAAAACAAAACAATTAACCACCAGAAAACTGGATGTGAAACTGTGATTCAAAGTGGTAGAGCACTAGTCTTGAGCAAGAAAGCTCAGGGACAGTTCCCAGCCGTGAATTCAAGCCCCATGAACTCAAGCCCTATAACAGACAAAAAAAATGAATTAGGTGTGTTGGTTGATATTTTTGTTTGCATTAGCAAATAAAATATGAGGTAGACATAGAGGTGCATGCTTGTAATACCAGTTACTCAGGAGGCTGAGGCAGGAGGACCAAGAGTTCAAGACTAATCCAGGCTCGCCTTGAACTTAGAGACTCTGCCAAAAACAAAAAGTAGTTGGGGGAATGGTGCAGGTTATAAAGCGCCTCCCTAGCAAGTGTGAAGAAGCCCTGATTTCAAAACCCAGCACTACCAAAAAGAAAAGTCAAAAGTAAAATAACCGCTGGGTATTGGTGGCTCACACCTTTTATCCTAACAAATCTGGAGGTTGAGATCTGAGGATCATGGTTCAAAGCAACCCAGTATGAAAGTCTGTGAGACTCTTATCTCCAAAATAACCACCAGAAAACTGGAAGTGGCACTGTGGCTCAAAGTGGTAGAGTGCTATCCTTGAATGAAAAATGAATGAAATGAAAATGAAAAATTTCAAGGATAGAACCCAGGCTCAAAGTTCAATCCTCACATACAAAAAAAAGTAAAATAACAATGATTTACATGTTGGAACTTGACTTTTTTGTGACATTTGCTACTTGTTTGCTATGTTGGATAATACTTTTTGAATACTGAATGTTTTCTTATTTTTGGTATTATTTGCATTGTAATGGTATAATTTTTTTAAAAAACTTTTTTTTACAAAAAGATTTAAACCAGACTGGCCTTGAACTCAGGATCCTCCTGCGTTAGCATCCCAAGTGCTAAAATTACATATGTTCTACCATGCTCAGCTACATATGCTTCTAAGTTTGCCTTTCTAACATTTTGTGCAACACTTCTTAACACTAGACCGTCAATAAAACAAGTCTTAATTTATACTGTTTACCATTTGTGTAGCTGCTTTTAAGCTACTGATGGCATTAAACAGAGTTTGGGAGCTATGTATCATAGCAGTCCATTATAGAGTATCTTCACCATACACATTTAGCAACCTAAAGAATATAGATAAGCCAGGCACTGGTGGCTCACACTTGTAAT